CCTTTTAAAGGAAACAATATTGTTTTAAGGAAACAATATTGTTTAAAGGAAACAAAAAATCAAAATATGAAAGCCAAGCCTGTTAGTGTCTGGCTTTTAATTAGCAGAGTAGCAGAAGAGCATCCCTAAGAACTGGAATTGACTCAAAAAGAACAAGCATGTAGCTTGTAGTTCAAAACAATGGCTTTAATCTATATTTAGATAAAAAGGCTATATCCTAATCTGATTAATGATGGTTTAGGTAAAGAGAAATATTTATCTCACCATCTTTCCAAATAAAATGGAGAGAGCAGGAAGATGGGAACAGCTCAGTTAAGAATCTTGAGAAAAAGTTTGTTAATCCAAAGAGAAATGACAGTTTGAGAGAGAGAGAGAGAGAGGAGTTTGCAATCAAGAAATCCCTGTCTATATAAGGAGGGGGGAAAGGAATTAAAAGATCTTCCAACAATATATATATTTGAACAGAAACCATATTTATTGCCAATAGTTGGTGAAATTGGCTGTAAAAGCTAAATTTTTGACTTAAATATGTATGAGCTGCTTTGACAGGGCAACTGTATTAGTGACAGGATATGTATGGCCACTAAGAAAGAGGCAATGTGAACCTTTGGGGAGTTACAGAAGAATAACAAAGCCATTTCAGAAGGCAGATGGCCAAGATCTTGCATTGAAGAGATGTAGCTTCACTTTATGCCCACAGAGTTATACCTTGTTTGAACTATGCCACCTTGATAGAGAATGCACACAGCTCATTGATCTGTCACATTCATAGCTCCGCCTCTTTGAACCTTCAGATGAATAGAGATGTTACACAATGGTAAAGAAAAAAAAGTATATCTGTATGCATGCATAACACACTAACTAAATACCGCACACACAATGGTGTCATTAGGGGGTGAGGAACAAGCCAGGTGACACCCTAAGGGGAATGACACCATTCAACTTTCATAATTTACTTTTCAATTTTTTTAAAAAATATATAAATTTTTTTTTAAATTTTCTTTAAAGATTTCACATTTTCACATTAACCACATGAAACTATGTGCATATAAATATACTTAGGCCGTGGGGCGAGGAGAACCAGGTTTCTTGGAGACTGAACTCTCTTTCTTTGAAGAGCTTTAAACAAAGTTTGGATGGGCAGATTTTGGGAGTGCACAACAGGGGGATGATGATGATGATGATGATGATGATGATAATTTATATCCCTCCCCTCTGAGAACAATTGGGGTGCCTAACAATGTTAAAATACACAATCAAATCAAATGCCCAACACCCTCCCCCCTTAAAAAAGCATTAAATCCAAAGAGATTAAAACACAGGGCCTTATCACACGGGGTCTAAAGCAGGGCCATCCCCATGCCATCCCCGTCCTAATGTGGATCCATGGGCATCATTCTGGAATCATCTCCTGTTTCGGAAATGCAATACCCAGTCCGAACCGAAATTAAAAAGAATGGGGATGATTCCGGATGATGCCCATGGATCCGCATTAGGACGGGGATGGCATGGGGATGGCATGGGGATGGCACAGGGATGGGCGCAACATTGTGTGATCGGCCGGGGGGAGGAAGCGCGATAGGACTGGGATGGGATGGGGATGGGCGGGCTTTCCTTGCGACGTCATGGGATCAGCCAGTGGCAGGAAGCACGACAGGACAAGAAAGCGACGGGGATGGGCAGGGTTAACTGGTGACGTCGTGAGATCAGCGGTGGCAGGAAGCGCAACAGGACCGGGAAGCGACGTAGAAGGCACCGCTTCAGACCCCCGTGTGGTAAGGTCCAAAGAAAACATAGAGGTCTGTATGCTGTGGCACAGGTTACATAAGACAACATAACACAACATGGATAGTGTAGGAGCTGCCCCAGTGACCTACAACAGCTCTACTGTGTTTTATTTTTCTTGCCTGAGGACACAAAGAGTTATACCTACAGCAAGTTTAATTTGGTTCTCCTGCTGGAAGAGAAGGTGCAGCAACTTGAGGTCCATATATCTACGCTTTAGCTTATCAAGGATTATTAAGCTTTTATGGAGTAATAGGCCTGCAGCTCAGAATAGGCAATGAAGTAGTAGTAGGCTGCAGTAGTTCCTCTGGACATTCCCTTTAGGGCAATATAGG